TTACCATAAAATTTTAACACTGTAGTTGTACTACAAATTGAAGGAGAGTTTATGCATGACGAGCTGCAGTTAGTAACTAGAAATACATAATGATGTTACAGTACAATAAATGGTTTAATACCCGGCATGGTCTGTACACTGATTGCACTACTAGCAGGTCCCAGTAATTGTTGATAGGCTCTGACTGTGATGCTATAAGTTGTTCCTCCTCTCAGTCCATTCAATGTGATTGTATTATTACTACTTCCCTCCACCTGTACTGTCTGCACAGTGTCTGTGTCACTCGTGACATTGACTACATATCCATCAGCATCAGATGAATCAAGTTTAGTCCAACTGACATTGATAGTGGTAGCTGTCTTGCTGACAATAACAAGACAAGAGGGAGCAATTGCTGGTACTAAAAAAACTGAACATTATATGAAAAATTTTCAAATATTATACCTGATATAGTATGATACTTGTTTCGTTGTACAACATTATTTTTATCAATATTGCCAACATACAAATAGAATCTGTACACATGATCCCCATTGTTGTTTGATTGACTCAGTACTCCACTAGCAATAGCCTCTCCATTCCAAGTAACAGTTAGAGTATAATCATGTGATTCATTACTTTTGTACAGTAACACTCCATCACCAATAGTACAACTGTATCCAGACTGTCCAGTACAGATATCAGCAGTCATTTTAGTACTAGTACTACCAGACTCATAGTACCAAGTGGCATTTTGTAAGTACCGATTATATTGAATTGTTATAGCATGTAGCGTGTATTTTTGAGGTAGAAGTTTTATATTTAAAGGAAGGTCAACTGTAATGTCTGTTATCTGTGCCCAACCTATACTAAAATCAATCAGTGTAGTATAAAATGATAAAACTTACTGGATAGAGAAGCAAAGATGATATCAGTAGCAGTAGAACAATCAGAGGGTAGACAACACTTGTACCATCCTTCTTTCAGTCTCTCCTGCTGAATAAAATAAAGACTGATAGTAGCAGGTAAAGTGACAGAAGTACAACGAAAAGGATCACTAGTACTATTACTGTTACAGTCAATAGGATCATCAGGATCAGCAACTCTAACCCACTGACCAGTAGTTAGACTAGCACCAGGTAACACACATGATATAGCTTTAGAAAATTCATTGACATCAAACTTTCGAAAATATGACCCATTAGGATAACAGTTTCCATCATACCTCAGGTAGATATCTATAAAACCTATACAGTTGTTATTATACACATCCAGTGTCTTACCTGAGGAAGGTGGACATTGACTAATAACTTCATTGACACTCAACAAGAAGACAATGGACACCAGCAACATGTTGAAAGAGTATCCACGAATCACCAACCAATGGGGCAGAGCTGCAAAATTCCAAAATGATAGGCCATCACAATGTTGTAAGTAAAAATTCACAACAGAAAATGTTAAAATTCAACCTCACAGCTTTTTTATGACCCACCTCCAAAGCAAAATTATTGTCATACAACTTTAATTTAGTTAATTTTAGTATTTTATGTATGCCATTGATATTATAATAATTGAAGTGATGGAAAAGAGGGAGAAATAAAAAAACAAAGAGAAATTTGCTTATAATACAAGTATCAACTCTAAAACACGTGAAGTTATACATAAAATAAAAATATCAACAATGACAACAACAACAACAATATAAACCATCCGCTCTACAAAAACAATAATTATAATACAATAAAAGCTTATTTTCTTTTCTGTCTTTTCTTTCTTTCTCCTGGTGAGAAAGTCAGTGATGTTGTTATCTCTCCTCCTCTTGCTCCAGCTGGTAAAGTGTTTATCATACCAACTGGTAGACTCTCACTAGAAAATTCTAAAAAATACAAAGTATCATTAATAAATATAAGGTAACAATTAAACTTATTCACAAATAACAATTTAGTTTAGAGTTCAAGAATACATGAATTATTAGAAGCCCCATATTATTATTATTATAACCTTACATGAAAGTAAATTCTAGATGTGCATGTACAGTACATGAGTTAGCAACAATTATGGCAATCAACAAGTATGTACAAAAAGTAAATTTGAGTATCCTAGTACTAGTGTGTGCCTGAGAGGTGCCAGGTCATCATATCACAAGACCATACATACACTCTTTCAACTCCCTTCACCTTGCTTTTGCTGAAAGGTATGTGTCTCGTTAACTCCTTTATTCTTTTTATCTTTCTCTTTCTGCTTCCCTCTTGTATATACATGTACATGTATTATATACATAATATTCATTTGTTGTATATGTACTTAATACTACATTGTTGTGCTTTTATCTGACTTGTATTTTGCTGCGTTATCAGTAGCTTGTTACTTTTATATCAACAGTATCTCTCACATGACACTGATGACAGTATAGTACATGTACAATGTACATGTGTATATTTAATGACTGAATAGTGTTCTTAGTGTTATTAGCTATTGTTACTTACCATAGTTCTTTTTCGGTGGATGTTTCCTTGATATTGGCTCACTGGTGGTATTAAACAGAGCAATGGCAGCTCTTTTCATTTTAGGAGTAATAATGAAACCTAATGAAAAGAGAGAGAGGGAAACATCATATAATATAAAACTTAATTAGTACAGGTGAGTTTCCCTAAAAAAGTTAATATGATAAGCTTTGGAGTTTTAGGGTTGTTTACCATGTTGTACATATAAAAAAACTTGTGGCACTGTACATGTACATGTACATGTAGGTATGTTACATTGTGTAAATAACAAACCGTTTATTTTGTCATCCTCCACTTGTCTTCTCTCTTTCTTGAAAGCCTCCATCCATTCCTCTTTCATTTTTGCATTCTTAGCAAACAATACGTACCACTTGTCGTCTTTATCAAAATTATTGATCCTCCAAGCATTTTTAACACCACTACCACCATGAGACCCTAAGGAGTCCATATAATAATATTCACATGATACAGTAGAAGATGTATTGTACTTACATTCACCATCTTTCAAGTCGATTATTTGACACTTGTCAGTATTCACACGACCTTTGTAAGATAACCTTCCACCAATTGTATCCTAAGACACATCACAATGACATATATGTACATGTACATTGTAGTATAGTAGAACGTAATTTTCAGAAATTGGCATATATATTTTTTGTGCAATATAAAATTTTCTTTTCTCAAAAATATTATTGGCTTGATTTTAGAATGTTCATTTTAGATTGCTCAACTTGAAAAATTGAAGTCGGAATCATCTGAAACTTTCTACACAGCACAAGGACATCAGTAAGTATGTATCAGAAATTGTCATAAAAATTGGTGTGATTTTGGAGCCATTATTTGGAAAAACCATGGGCCTTGGGTATTTTTTATAACTCAAAAAATTGAAGCTGCAATCGTTCAACATAGCGTAAGTACATTTACATGTACATCAATATGTACATGTATCAGAAAATGTAATAAAAATTCCAAAACCAATTTTGGCAAAAATACACAGAATGCACACACAGGGTACATGTGCATGAATCAATATCAATTTCATTTACTTTTTTGCAGTAAACCAGTTGATGGTCAAACAGAAAGAAGTGTCTCTCTTGGCAGCGTCCTTTTGATATTTTATGTAATTCAGTGCCATGTATCAACTCAGTACTAGTCTCCATTAGATCAGCACCCTACATG